GATGTGGAGGTGGAACTGAAGGTGAGCATTAATAGGATGGGATGGATGTTAAAGTGACAATATCATAAGTTGTCAAAGCTTTTTCTAAGTAGTTGTTACTTGTTGTATTTGTTGCCTTCCTTTCTTAATTTTACTAGGGTATAGCCAATAGCCATTATTTTTCACTTTTGTAATTTGTTGATCCTCAATCTTATAGACTGTTGACTCATGACTGTTCACTTGTTTGATTTTGAAGTGGAATATGATTTCAAAGGTCAGCTGGTACATACAAGTATTGATATTACTGAATTATTGTTGTTTTTCCATTAAGTTCTTCGAAGTATCCGCCTTTCAGGTGCTTAATTGATTCAAGCTGTCAGAAATTTTCTTCTTTTTCTAGATACTTCATCATGGTTTCCTCCATATCAACAAACACTCGTGTAGCACTTAGCACTATGTAGTGTCTGACTCCACATCACCCTCGTTTTCTTTTCTTCACCCCCGGCAGAAGGTGGACCTTGAGAACGCCTACCTCTGCGGCTACCTCAAGATCAACAACCTCACTGATGACTTTCCCACAATGGTCACCTACTTTGACGGCGAGATCATCGGCAGGCGCCACCCATTCTTGACGAGAAAGTGGGACGCCAATGAAGAGGTGGACACCAAACACTGGGTGAGCTACCGGGTAGATGGATGGACAAATAGAGACTAGAAAAAGACGGATCGGAAGATCGAGTGGAAGTGCCCGGCTACAGATCATTGGTTCCAGAGTCCAGACTTGCGAAATTCGTCTTTATTGGGTTTAGCAGAAGATTGTTTAAGTGCAGCAGACAATATTTGTTATTTTTTTTCTTACTATGCTGGGTATAGTAAAATGAATTTCGATTTTTCGATATTCTGTAGTTTTTGAATCGATACCTGACGATTTTTTTTCTTTTGTAGCCTTTTCATTATTGCTTATAGACACAAAACGTTGTGTTGTATGCACTTTACAGGGATTCTGACAACGTTATTTGTCATATCAATCATGCAACGGTTATTGCAAGTTCACGCTGTTTTCTCATTTTTGTTTCCACACCGTCGTTAAACGCCCCTGGCTCCGCAGTCCGCACTCTCCAGGGCTGCGGAGTCGATGGATTTTCAGCGACTCCGACTCCGACTCCGACTCCGGCTTTCAAAAACCAGCTCCGACTCCGACTCCGACTCCGGGCAGAATTGTCGACTCCGACCGACTCCAACTCCCGACTCCGACTCCACAGACCTAGCAGGGCTGCGGAGTCGACAGATTTTCGGTGACTCCGACTCCGACTCCGGCTCGGGTTTCTAAAATCGACTCCGACTCCGACTCCGACTCCGGTCACAACTGTCGACTCCGACCGACTCCGACTCCGACTCCGACTCCGCAGCCCTGCTCCAGACCCCTCTAACACACCAGCGTCGCACCACACTACCCTGCCACCCTACCCATCACTCACCCCCCCCCCCCCATATTGCACCCACAGGGCAAATTCGAGGCGTTCGCTCCGTTCAGCAAGACGTTCAACACTGACGACTTTGACTTTGGTGTGTTAGACTCTCACGATGCGGTCTTTATGCGGTGGAAGGAGAGTTTCCTCATTCCCGACCATCAGGTGAGTGAACTGGGCGTTGGGGGGGGGGGGGGGGTCGGGGTATGTGGGATACTTGTTTGTTTTTCGCTATCTTTTCGTTATATTCTGTCGATTCGCTTTTAGGGGCGAGAGTAAACGACAGACGTTGTTTGCTGTCTACAAGAAATGAATAGCGTTAACTATATATAAAAATGTAATGTTACACTTAACTCTGTTAAAGGGACTATCCCACCTTTAACATGGGGTTTGAGTTGAGATAGCCAAGTTTGCGGCGAGGTTCAGAAACCACTATCTATCTAGGTTGCAACCCCCGCGGCCTCTTGGTGTTGAAGAAATTCGTTCCCTTCATTTGAAAATGGGCCTTGTACAAGGCCCTGTCTTCAACATGGAGCGACCGTTAGTGTGACGTCACCTCGTTTAGTCATTCTGATTTAAATGGGTTTGTTCGTTGAAAAATCGCTTAAAACTTGGTCTGAACTTTGTTGTGGTGCCTACAGAGTAAAAAGAATCAGCTTTATGACAGTAATGTGGCCTGGGGAAGGAGGTAATTTTGGGCTGTGACGTCACATATTTCATATTTGAAAGTTTGTGTTTGGAATATGGGAAGCCTAAGATGTTTAATGAAAAATAAATGCCAGAACCGTGTTCCTGGTCATCCAATCTATAAAGTCGGGCACAATTTAACTGGTTTTAACAACATTTTAGAAGGTGGGATAGTCCCTTTAATACTTATGATGTCTGTACGAATCTATATAAATGCTGCATTTTTTAACCTAGAATACTAATTATCTGAGTATCTGAGAGAGCTGAGTAAGCTGAGTATATCTTATTTTTTTTTTCATGAAATAAAGGTCATATCTTCATGAAAACTATGTCGCGTAATTCGTGCTTGTTTTGTCACACTTGTCGCTTACTAAGCGAGTTTCATTTGTTATATTCCAGGTGAAGGACATCAATGGCGCATCGTTTGCCGGTTTCTACTACATCTGCTTCATGAAGGCGTCCTCTCAGATCGAGGGCTACTACTATCACGAAAAGTCGGAAATGTGAGTACCTACACGGAATGGCGCGATCGCACGGTGGGGGTCTGGGCGTGGGCATGCGCAACAAACTGCCAAAAGCTAGCTCCGGAACTTTGTCAATCTGCATAGTAAAAAAAGAGCCAATTATGCCAAGAACTGTCGGCTTCGAGAAACAGACAAGAATCGAAACGGGAAATTATGCACCGGGGTTCGAAGTTCTATTGTGCAAAGGCGAAAAAGATTACGTTCGGGTGACCTCTGGCCTGACGTAATATTTCGTAATAACCTCTGACCTAACGTCATCGTTTTTGCCTTCGCAGGGCAGAGCTATACGGGATGCGGGATATATTTTACTTTATTAACTCCTATGGTTTGGAAAAGCTCATGATCTAGCTATTCAAGCAACCATAACTTGGTATTCAATGATATAAAAAGATATTGCTGCCCTACTACAACTAGCGACATTATCATTGTCAGTGCCCCGTTCAATCTGCCCAGCGGCCGCCGATTGCGCCATCTCACGCCAGTTTTCCGTACTTCAGGTACCAGTCCCTGGCGCTACAATACGAGCCCTGCCACACCACCGAGATTTACGAGTTCAGATGAGACAGCCAGTTACTTCTCAGTGACCCCTACCTGCATGAAGGGGACAAAGACACTATTGTGTGTTGTGGATGAACTAAGTGCTCCGATATTCTACGGGAGACAGTGAGAGTGAAATTGGCAGCGAAGGAGGTAATGCTTGGGTCAGTTTAACCCGCCGCGGGCCGGTGCTCAGTGCCACCCGCACCCGACCTGGGGTTTGAGATCATACAGGTCCCTCATGCTGAGATATTGCCATGTGATGGTGTGGTGTTGGTATGAAGTTGTTGAAGTGGTCTAGCTCATAGCCTGTAGTTATTTTGGCATATTTTTCGAAAGTTATTTCCGCGGTATATCATTTTCACAGTCAATGTACTTGAAGGGAGTGTATGTGAAGAGAGTTCGTTCTTTTCTTAATATTGCTTTTTTGCTTGGTTGGAGGTTGAATATTTAACTCTCACGTTCACACATCTAATTTAGTATTGTTTAGTCAGTCGTCTCTAGGCGAAAGATAACAATGAGACTGAAGGTTTGGAAAGTTCTAGGATAGTCTTGGCCCCCTGGCGGCCCATGTAATGCGCAATGTGAATGCCAGCTTCAAGGGACTGTAGCATCAAAGGATGCCGTGCTTGATCAATGTAAGGATTGTTGATCATGCCTCTTAAGGTATCTACTTACTTCCTCATAGAGCCCATATTGTCATCCATTGTCTTGTTCTCTTTTGTGTTATTGTACTTACCATTCTTACATAGTTTTTGTGGTGTATGATCAATATTTACATGTATCTTTAGCTGCAAATCTGTGCAAAACGCTTCCATATGATCCATTTTCAGTCAGTTTTCTGGATAATGTGTCATTATACTGTGATTTGTGGTATAATAAAAGTAACGTTTATCCTGTGACTGTTGATTGCTTTGATAGTAAGATAAGCCTAAAGCGCCAGCAAGCATTGGTTGGAAGATAAAATAAGCATGGCAGTGGCATGGTCCTACCCTTTTAATAAACGACTCTCGTACAAAAATAACAGTGGAATAACGTTGCACTACAGCCTCGTATTTCATCATGGCCTAGCTCCCACAGCTAATAAGCCAATCACCACATCCGCTCTGGGAAATATCGTCACAGCCATTACACCGCCATTGCGCTAGAGAAGAATGGCTTCCGTGTTATCAGTGGAAGGAGACAGGGCTGGCTCACTTGAGTTCGACGAACTCTAACTTTGTTAGAGCTTCTGACGCTAGCGGTCTCAGACTCTAGTCTGATTGAGTTACGGGTCTTGAGCGGTTGTGGCATGGGAGCCTTGTGTTTACTTACCAGAGCCTTGTGTTTAGTTACCAGAGCCTTGTGTTAAGTCGTATAGTAACCAGAGCCGTGTAGTTAATCCTACTGGGACTATCCTGGAGGGTTCTGTGGCGCCTGTCTGTCGTCTTCATAGTGTCACACCTACTATATCATGTTGATTGGATATCAGTTACCCGTTTTAGGGCCCCCAACTGCCACCCGCCGCACTTTATCTGTGTTGACTTTCGACCCCCCTCCGGGTATCACGCGAGTGGTTCGTGACGTGGGTTGGCTGCTGATGAAATCGGGGAAACCCCGCCGGACGGCGGCCGTGGCGCAGTTCAAAGGCCTGGGAGAGAGACACGTCCGTGGTTTGGACTGTGGCAGCGGTCTGGATTAGATTAGAGGTGCAACATCGCATTGCAATGGTAGTAGATCATAACATAGGTTATCAGACTTTGCTGACTGAGAGCGCTGAGCACGGAGCTTTCACGCTTGTCCAACCGTTGCACTGTAAACCATTGCATACGTGAGGAGCGTTTTGTTCATTTTTCCTACCATGACATGTTCGTGCGATCCTGTCCTATCGTGCTGCATGGGCACATGAAGACGACTTCGTTCGAAAGACGTTGTGTATTATAACACAACGGCGAGATAGTGGTGCTAAATTTCGCTGCTGCCGAACTCACCCAATGCGCACCACTTCAACCGATTTCTAAATAAGCCACTGCTTCCTCCTTTCTAAATAGCCTCAGTTCTCCACCTTCCAACCGGTTCCCCAATCCCGTCCCAAAATAAATAACTCGGCTACCACTATCTCTGCCTCCCCGCCGCTCGTCACTGGCACCGCCTCTGGCCATGACCTTGAGACTAGGAGCCGGGGGCTAGGAGCACCGGGTAGCATTCTACCGGCTTGGCTGAGCGCTGAGTCGCAGTCGTCCGTCTGACGTTCGGACGGGGGGTCCACGTCTGTGAAGCGTCTCTTTGTGGTCGAAGAAATGCTGCGTCTTCTGAGCGGCCGCGCCCTGGTCGGGGCTGTGAGACCGGTGGCAGCCAGTTCGGGATATGCAACGTCTGCCTTGCCTCAGCCGGTGTTGAAACCCGAGATTCAGCATACTGGGGTGAGTAGAATGTGAACTTTGAGTCGGACGGTCGATGCGGGGTCACGTGGGGTTTGTTATGGGGACTGCGGTTGGCTAGTGATCGTGGCAATGGGTCGAAGATCCATGATGTTCGACGCATGGCTCGAATCGAACATTCATGATGTTCGATTCCAGCACAAGGCCGGTGATCAATTACTCCGCAGGTTGTAATGAAAGTTTCAACAACATTTACCACTCAGTGACCCAAACCGACCATTTGGTGATCGTATGTTTCTTGAAATGTGGACATACTCCAAGCTACCGACTGCTCATTGCTCACACGCTTGGAACACTAGCTGATACCATCGCGCACTGCATACAGCCGTCATGTTCGTCATGTCATGTTCTTCTTATCATCACATCATCACGGTAGCTGTGCCGGACTTTCCATCAACTCCGATGACCTGTAACTCCGCCACGTTCTGAACAGTACTCGGCCCGTTCCGCCGGGCAGACCGCCAAACACTCGTCAACTATCCTGGTCGTTTGTTGATTCAAGACGGCGCGCACCCGACCTCCTGATAAACCAAACGGAGCCTGCTCCTGAAACCAGCCGACCCTGGCTTCTGTATTTCGTCTTCGTGACTTGTTTTTATACATGTTGCTAGGTGGTTGTGTTTAGTTTTCTGCCTAACCGTTTACCGTGCCTGCCTTTACATTTTTTTTTTTATAACGGTGACAGTACGAGATAGCTTATCAACAAGATTATTACTTACGAGCTTTGAACGGTGTTGTACGCCCAAATACACTCCGTTCTCACTCCCAAATAGCAATTCACTCCCAAATAGCACTCCGGTGGGTCGGGAATAACCGCAAACGGTCACAAATATTGACCCCAAAGGTCACGAAAGATAACCCCAAAAGTTCACGAACGTTTAAAGGTAGTGTGCCACCTTTAAAAGATTTCCCATTTTATTTTTCCTAGGATAAGAAGCTTCTGTTTTTACCTAATATCGCAAAAAAAAAATCAAAAATGGGCCTGGAATAGTGCTTTTTTCGCCTAAAAGTTTATCGGTTTTTCGATATGTATAACAACTGTAGTGGACTGACCTGCAAACAGGCGTCGGCAACAATCGCGAATGCGGCGCACATGTGACAATAAGCAAAGGTCATTATAGAGTTACGACGTACGGGAATGAGTTATCAGCTGTCTAATCGTAGACAACACAATGTCGGCCTTAAACTGTAAGCCTGTATTGGTATTGTTTCTTTTATTTGGCTGTCGAACATTATTTATGGTTTGAAATATGATTTTATGTAAAATAATTGATATGAAAAGCCGTCTCTTAAGTTATGACCCCATTTCACCACACGCAAGTGGCAGAAATGACAATGATCAGCTGACGCATTTTTCTTTGCCGAAGTCAGAGCGCGCGGCCCGACGCACCACCACCGCACCACAAAGTATGAGCAGAAGCCGCGCCCAAAGCCAGGGCCCCGGTAACGTGAGGTAGCCGAGTCGGGGCAGCGTGCGCTGACCCAAGCCGGGGCCGCAGCTTTGGGCGCGGTCTACCGCATCCCCGCGGGCAGCCCCGGACTATCACATGACACCGGGAGGACGCGCGGCCCCGGCTTGGGTCAGCGCACGCTGCCCCGACTCGGCTACCTCCCGTTACCGGGGCCCTGGCTTTGGGCGCGGTCTACCGCACCACCTAACAGGCGTGTTCGAAACCGCAGGAGATGATGATGAACGGGTTTATCGAAACTTGATTGGATGAGCATATCGGTAATAGCGATTTCAGTGTGTGCATTTCTTGTTCATAGTGGTGTGAAATGTGGTTGGGGTACGACCGACAACCCGTCGGGGCGAAGTTCGCACTGGGGTACTCAAAATTTGAAGAATTTAAGACGTTTCCATGAGCTTTGAAGGTATGGATAAGTTCTAAAAATCCGGTTCTCCTTATCTGGGCCATTAACTCCATACGGTCCAGGAAAGCTGGCACAATACCTTTAACCCCAGATTGTTACGAACGTTGACCCCAAAGGTCATTAGCTGCGCGTTGAGTATCCCGATGGGCTTGTTTTTAGCCTTGTTGGATGTACGATGATTTCACTTGGTGCTTCCTGTTCCTGCCCGCTGTGCACTATGATAATTGATAATTGGGTGATCTATTGCTGACGATTGGATAAACGTTCGTGCAGTGTTTTTTTTTTTGACCCGTGTTTCCGTTATACATCAACAGCCGGTGCCCTGGTTCTTGACGACACTTGGACAATATGACATTTCGACGTGATTCGTTTTTTTTTTAACAAAAGGAAATTGCGCTGAAAATGTAAAGGTACATGTTATCTCTTGTCTTATCTCATGCGTACTGCATGGTGAATGTGAAGCTTGCCCTTTCATATCATCGAATCGATAGGAAACTGGTACGCAAGACTCATTGACTGTACAACTATATAATAAATGTGTGCTTATCCTGACTGTTTTCAATATGTCGTGGTCGGAGACGAGCTGATAATTAATTGATCAGCTCAACCTTCGAAGGTACTGTCTATTAGATCTTAGCAGGCGGCCTTCTCCGGTGCTGGTATAAACCCGCGCCGGGCCGGTGCTCTGAGATTCCGCGCCGGGCCCGGGGGTGTCTGAACACCCCCTTCTAACTCGGCTCCTGGGCCACGTAGCGACACGCGGTAAGCGGCAATGGAAAGAACGTAAAAAATAAGCACGAAAACATTTCGGTCATTTTTGGGTCAGGTCAAAGGTCAGGTCACCAGAGGTCACCAAAGGTAAAATGTTGACTATTTCAACATTTTGGAAACTGCCGACGGCTATCTCGGGAACCGATAGAGCTACAGCGCCGCGGAAAAGCGCATTCGATAGCCCTTTTACAGACCTTTCTGAATAATTTTCTCAGATTTGACCTCAGGTCAACGGTTTAGCCTCCAGAGGGTAAAAACTCCAAAAATAGCCGTTTTTATGAAAAGCGTTTTTTTCGGCAATAACTTTTGACTCAAAAGAGCCATGACATTACTTTTGCCAGCATCGTGTTCCTCTCGTCGAGACGCGTCGAATGAACTATAATTTGACATTGAAAGGTTAACTTGAAAATTTGACCTCAGGTCAAGGTCATGACCTGACCGGAAAAAGGTCATGTTGCATATCAGTCGATCCGCAACGTCGAGCCGAACACATCTAAGGCGTTTTCAGCGCTCTAGCACACCTCTATCAGAAGTTATTAGCGAAAAACTGTTTGATTCTGTTCGTGACATGAGATGACCTCGGGGACAAAACGAGGGGTCACAGTTGCCATTTTCCGGTTCAGTGTGTCAATCTTACCTACATCTCGATGTTTGAGAGTGTCTAGAATAGCGTTCGTGCAAAACAGACGCTTTTCAATTTTCTCCCATTGACTTATAATGGAGAGGCCGCAAAATTGACCTGACCTTAGGTCACCGATATCATAACTCCGAGATATGCATTTTATAGATAATGTTGCTCTAATCAATCGCTGAAAGTTTCAAGGCAATCGATCAATCGGTGTAGCTATGGCGATCATTCTTATTTTTTTCTGAGGTGAGGTCACTTGGCGTGACCTGGTGACCTGACCTAAGACGACCTGGGTCTGAAATTTTCACGACATGTGCGGAAAAGATGCACGAACAGGTGTGCCAAAAACGGCGGCGATATCTGCGAAAAACCGCAGGGGGGGGGGTGTTCAAACACACACACCCGGCCCGGCGCGTGTTAAGGCTCGGGCCATGCGGCGCAGTATACCTTCAGGCGCTGACGCTACCGCCATCTATGAATAGTAATATGAAATATCTGCCGAGTTCCATGGATTCGCCGGTCCAATGACAATCATCGTTCGGTTAGGAAAATACTTTGAGTGTGACAAACTCGATACTGGAGCTGAATCCGGCGGCGCTCTGAACTGGAGTTAGTGAGCCGGCCGATGGTTAGGCCATACTAGCCAAGAAACATCTTAGCCAAGAAAAATAATTTTTCTTAGCCTCACTGACTGTCGCTTGTCAACCACTTTGAAACCGTTGGTGACGTCTTCGCCTAATATTTTCAAAGCTGTCATAATCCCATAAATGTAAACGTCAGAGATGCGCAAAGCTATGCCCTCTCATTTCACGCGTTTCCACTTACATTTTGACAGAAATCCACTTCTTGTGTACATTACTCGCCAACGCTTGTTTGGTTTGGCTTTGTTTTGGGACCAGCGTTGCGTTTTGCAATATTGCATGTCTAGCCTACTTCATGTAGCGCAGGTGGCGCATGACGTTGGCATTGCTAGCAGCTGCTCAGTGTTCGTAAAGCATAATGAAAACATTATAGGTAAGTGGTGAGTCATTTAGCGCTTTATAGGGGAAGTAATTTTATCTCCAACGGTCCTATACAGGAAGAGGGGTATAGTTGTCACGTCATCTAGGGACGAGGGCTTGTTTGCAATCGTGCATATAAGGGCTGGGGTGATTAAAACGAGGACTGTAACGTAACGATATAGTGCCCACGTGGACTCTATGTTTCCATGGACATGAATGTTGTTTATGATGTTGCCAATGGGGATGCATTAAGGAGTAGTTTGTTGTAATGACTTGCACCGGCACGGCACAACAGCTGCATTGAGCAACGGACTGTACTGCAACAGCTGCAACAGACAATAATAGCAAAAAATAACGCCATGCCACCTGGCCCTTTTTGGACAATTACCATGGAGCAATCACTTTGTCTTGTTGTCCATGAATAACGTTTGCATTTGGCATTTCACATGTTTCCTACTTCCTAGACTGCTTTCAGATGTTGAGACTTGTCTTGAAGATGCCTCTCAAATGTGCCGGGTCATGTTTTCATGATTTTTTTTTTTTTGGAAAGCAAAGTCCCTATCTATAAACTAAGTTCAAAGCTCAAAGAAAACAAAGCTCCTAGCAAAGTTATAGTGCTGGCTGCCTAATTTGGTTTATTAGATTGACATGCTTTGTGAGTTACACTTGAAGAATGGCGTGTATTCTGCGGGACGTAAACAAAACGACCC